TCCTGAAACTATTATGTTTAACTAGTTATAGTGTTGAATGAGGATTAGTCAATGGAAAAATAGGTATTGTTGCTTTACGTGATTCGAAATTATCAGAAATTTGTAACGTTAAAGAATCCAAAACGCTAATTTAAATATAAATTTTAATTCAGAAAGATTCGTTTAGTGTTAATTCTAGTAGGCTACGGAGTTTTGATTTTAAACGTTTGTTTAGCCAACAGCTACCTAGGGATTTAGTTATTTTACTAGTGTAGTTGATAGTACCTAAATTTTTAATCTTTTTATCTAAACTATGTTCACATTTTAGGCTGCTAATATGATAAACCAATCCATAAACCCAAATACGATTAGCAACAGCGACTATGAGGGGTTTATCGATAAATGTTAAAGGCGATTATCCAATGCCACTACAGATGTCCAGGATGCCATAAGTTATTGGAAGGTCACCTCTAAGACGCCTGTACTCGGATGGGTAAAGATTCAGCGGTTGAAGGCGCTCTTCATAAGACTTCAAGTTCAGTCCATAAACTGATTTCGTGGCTCTCCGTTGAATATGTTCAATGTAACCTTATCTCCTTGAAGTAAGGGAGGAAATACAACGTTTCTGTAGCACAAACGGGGACGAACAAAACTGTTGAAGATGATGTGGAAAGTTTATCTATCGAGATGGTAAAAAAAATGGGCTTCGACATCTCCAGTGCAAGGTTTATTCGAAAAGCATTCTTGCCGCAGTTAGCCTAGGATTTCAGCTTATAGAGTACCAACACCCCTAGAACTTTTTCGACTTGAGATACTTTTCGAAAGGGAATTAACTAAGTTGTATTTGTGGTCTGCAACATGTCTCAAATGAACTACCTTACACTTTGAAGTGACAAGGGTAAGTCCGTTGTCATTCGCCCAACTTTGAATTCGAGTCAGATCCTCATGAAGTGCTGGTTTATCCCTTGGTTGCATGCTTCTCTTTATAGTTTCACATCGTCAGCAAAAATTAATGAATCTCACGATACCTGCTGTGGAAGATCGTTTATATAAATCAAGAAAACATAAGATTCAAGGACCGGACCTTGGGAGTTTTCACTAGAACAACCTGTAGCCTCAAAAGAAAGTGAAGTTGACCCTGTCCCTTAAATATCGACTTTTTATCTATGAAGTTATTCAAACAGTTGAAGATGATTTGATATCTAATCGTTTGAGCTTATTGATAAGATATATATGGTTGACCCTATCAAAAGCTTTTGAGAAGTCAATGTATATGACGCCAACCTCCACCTTGTGATAAAGGATATTTGTCCACCAGCCCATTGTGGTCAGCATTTTAGTTATACAAGAGTGACCATTTCTCAAATCGCGCTGTTAGGGTGAAAAGAAACTCCGGTTTTGCACTGTCGAAGAGAGGCTGCATGATGGAACAAACTATCCGAGGTGAAGAAAAACCTTCCGGTTAGTTTTGTTTGATACTGAAGCCTGTTTTCTCTTACTGTCTTTGTTCACTGATACTTTGCTTGCTTGGATCGTCTGTGTACGCTGTTGTTACTAGTTCGTCAGTATTCAGCCAAGTAGAGTCTTTGGTGGTTTAAGAAATGAAGAGTATGCTTCTCGAAGACTGTAGGTTTCCTTTCGTTTTTGGGGACAGTTTTTTGAACGTTCTGCCATGCAGCATATAAGATAATGTGCAGTAAGAAATCTTATTGAGCATCCACATTAAGTTGAGAGTGAACTTTCAGGTCCATCCGCTGTAGATTGTCCTGTAAAGCTGACACATCCAACCGTTTGAAATTCCAGCGTAGATTGTTGGTGGAGATCTCTTAAATCAGATTCGCTGTTAAGATTGAAGGCTATGAAGGTGTGATTACTTTCATTCAGAGGAACCAAGAGTGGGAAGTTGTCAATTAGGAATTCCTCTTTCGTTAAAATTCAGTCTAAGCGCGACGGCGTTTGACTGTTTCTCCGATGAGTTCCCGACTTGACATTTTCGAATAATCCCTGGTCTTTAATGAGGTAGACGGACCGGGCTTCAGAAGGTTTGTCACTCCCAATGTTTGTGTGGTTAGCGAAGTTGACTTTAAGAAGATTGAATTTCTCTAGAATCAAGATATGAATGTGTCCGAGGCGAGTAGAGTGAGATTATCCTTCCACCATATGATTGTCAAACTCAGTGTCAACAGTGGACTTTCTGTAGATGACTCCAACTAGACATCTCAAGGTGTTAGACGATCTCACTGAGCACCCTACAGATTCGTCTAGATTGACAAACTCTTCGGTGTGCACTGGACGTACTACTGAAAAGATCACAGGTACAGAGCTACTCCGTCCCCCTCCCTGTTTTTTTGTCGTTGCGGAACAAAGACATGCCGAGCATTGTTAGCTCCTAGCTCGTAGTTTGTGAAGATATCCATGTTTCAGATATTCTTATCAGATGAGTATTATTAGCATTACTGAGTTCACCCAACTTATCCATTTTATTTGGTAAACTTGTAGTGTTCATACATGAGCAGTTTATACTTTCCCCGTCCTGTTAGTCTGTATAAACCTTACGTGAATGGAAAAGCAACCTACATATATAGGGACTTCCAAATTGGTAGATCCTATACTCTTTACGTTTTTTTCATGGTCTTGACAGTCTACAAGTGAGATAGTCAGCTCCAACTTGTCTTTGTGCTCAATCATGTCATAATGTGGTCTATCCAAATGGACGTGGATTCCAACTGGCAACCGACGTCTGTTGGCATGAAATAGTTCAAGAGTGACAGCCGCCATATGGGAGGATCCGAGGGTTGTCTTCAATAATCGGGGTCTAGAATCCTCATCCTTCTTGGTTAGTCTCACCACTTGTCTAGTCAATATGTTCTTGAGCCTCAACGACTGCCTAATGAATTTCCACTACTGAATGTCGGTGTCTGCGTACTCATGATCTGTTTTCTTCCGCGAAAGAATGTTTCGCGAGATTCCTTAGAGACGCTCTTGATGAGATTATACTCAGAATATGGTGTGCCAGGTAGTAGTATTATTGTAGCCTCATCTGATTGCAGCAGGTGAATAGCCGTCAGAACATCATCTACGTCGGCAGTGTTGGTGAACGCTACACTAAGTGACTTTTGTGCTTGCAATCATTACCCCGAGTGAGCCATGTGACCGTCGGTAGCTCTGTTTTATGGAGTTTGAGCTTCGTGTTCAACTAAACGAATAATATATTTGTAATATTTAATAATATTCGTAATTCAACTATTTTCAGAGCATCCTGTGATTTTTGTACTGCATACTGAGCGGAATGTCAGAGCTATCTTTAGGATTCATGATTATGAGTGAGTCAACGCGAACTGTAACCATTTTCCCAGGTTTCCTGGTACGTTTAGGTCGATTTTCTCCTTGTTAGGGAGTTGAAATGCGTCTCGAATTCTTGTGCTCTTTACTGACCGGTTGGATAAACTTAGGTGTAGATTGTGTGTTCAAATCACCAGCTGATTTCACTACAAGATACGGGCGGTGACACTCGACACTCTTTTAACGTAGTCCAGTGGACTATAGAATTTTCGGGGGCCACAGTTGCATTTGGGGAGCCTGTGCCAAGAAACCCAACTTTACTGAGAGAGTCCTTTACACTCGATGTTATGGTGGTGCTGAGCATCTGCATATCCTCACTAATGTCGATGAATGTTCGATTGATGCTAACGTTATCGAAGATCCTCTTCTTTACTTCACTGCACGTCTTTGTTTGTTTATCCGTTCCAGAACTGTCTTTTTTCAGATTTGCTGACAACCTTTTTCTCAAAGTTGTCAAAATAATGATGATGTTGCTCAGCAAATCCTCAGCATTTATGTTGTATGTGCCACATATCCACCTACAATCCGACATACAGAGTCTGTAGTAAGCAGTTACTGTAATATCTGTGCATGCTTCATGAAACCAACTTTTCCATTTTTCACACTGCATGCCATATGTGACAGCGAAATTCCATCCAGGCCGCTTGGATGAGTTCTTCATGACTCTGGTGGTGTGAGTTGCTTAACAGATCCTACCAAAGGTTTACGACCGTAAAACAAAAAGCAATACACTCAAAACGAGTAAAGTGGATAGAAAACGGGTGTTACAGAAGGTTTAGATACACCAAAACTATCTTTGATGTGGAAAACTGAAGGCTGAGACAAAAAACATAGTCAACTATTGACTAGGGTAAATCTCAGACAGAAAAGTAACATGGCAAACGTTAAGCTCAGGACAGATTCCTTGGATCAAAATGGTTCATTTGTTGGGTAAGAACACAGAAAGATTTTGAGAAATGCAAATAACGTTAGGATTAGACTTCCCGTTCTTGAAGCGCATACAGGGTTCAATGGATAACCCGATCGAATAAACACAAAAATATGGGAACGGTGAATGTCAAAATAAATTTCCCTACGGCGAATACCATGTTGTTCCTGGACAAGATATTTAATTATTATAGAATATCAATAGGATACGTTTTGTTTGACTTTGTGATACCGCCTTATGCAATTACAAACTCTGTGCTCAACTTCGTAAGTACGTAGCCGTTATAATATTTGATCACTGTACATTAACTCGAAAATAACCGAGATTTATCAAGAACACTACATCACTGTTAGGCACTTGTAGTAACCACAGTATGGCGTCAAGGTTACAGGACTTGCTGACGACCTTGACAGTGTTTTACATAATTATTAGGAGGTTTATATGTCATCAATTTATATTTCTTGGAAACCTTGACTACCATATATGTGTCTTAGTATCCCACTTTTCACACCACGGCACCTTGATCGCTTTGGTTGCTACTACTACATAGTTCATTTAAACAAATCGATCCTGCAAAGTGATTTGTAGTTATTGTATCTGTGTTTTACTAACTATTCGCTAACCGCTCAAGACTCCCACTGTTTTGAAGTTCTATAAACAAGACGAGCTGATTAGTGTGGGTTGTCGCAATATGGTTATGCTCTTTTCTGTTGCATCGAACTAAGCACTCACCTCTTCTCCGCTTCTGGGTTACGCGTGTATTGTATTGCCGGTATGTTATTGTTTGTTTTGATATGTACTTCACAACTGTACATGGTTCGGTTACACATTCTGCAAATATGACTGCATAGTTTCTTAATAAAATATACCTGAATATCTTTTGTATCCTAGACAGCACATTCTTTGTGGTAATCGTCTTTAAAAGTTGAGTATACCAGACTTTAGTTTGTAATTGTGTCGGATATTATACGTCCTGAATCCTTGTTTATGTGTCACGATACTCAATAAATCCGCTACATTTCACATTGCTGTGGTCAGGACGACTGTTAATTTCCTTAACATATGGTTGGGCGGATTGTTCGAACTAAATGATAACATGGCTTGTTTCTGAGCCTAAATGTTTGGGTCTCGATATATATTAACCTTCCCGGGACTGTACGTTAAATGTTATCATCCCATCAACACTTGAAGGTGATCATCTCCAAGGTATGCTTAGCTCAGTTTCACACAGAACGCTACTTCCTCCCAAGAGAAGATCCAACTTACTTTATTGACTTAGTACAAAAAATATTTAACTAAATGTGGTGTGTATTATCCATCAATTTATGTAGCCCAGATTGCTACCTTGTATGACACATGGTTTATAGAAGTATTATATCTCGACCAATCACATTCATCGTCTTCGTCTACCAAACAATGATTCAGATGGTCGGACACATCATTTCCCCAGATGCGCAACATTACGCACTCAAATAATTATCTTGGGAAGTAAATCCAGACGCTATTTACTAGGTAAAGTATTTGGCTCCAAATATGATTATGGTCATGGCTTCTAATAGTTAACAGGATATGCATAAAAATCCCAGTTAACATTGTTACTGTGTGACGGGCTGTATTTGTAAGGAAATGAAGAATTTTGGAGACCAGTTGTTCTAAGTACCAATTGTTCCTGTTGTGTAAACCTCTTGCATACTGAATTTTGATGACATCAAGATTGTTGAAGAGTTTTGACTCACAAAAGTTTTGAAGTGAGAAAGTATCCATGTCCTGATTGTTCTATCCAAGATTCACTACCTCAGTATTTCACTACATGTTTTAAAATAATGATTTACGAACAAGGACACTCATACAGTTGTCTTAACGATTCTGTTTCCAACCAGACCTTGCATATCAAGAAAATATTCTAAAGACAAACCACGTAAAATCATACATACGCTGTCATTTGTCAGTGGTTGGGATCTACGCTATGACTGTTGTTTCAAACTGAGAAGGCAAGGTTCAGTGTTAATCTTTGTATAAAATAATTGGTCATATTACAGTAAAGACAAGTGTCTTGATTCTTAGTTGCTGACAGTAAACATTTTGTTACTTGAAAATCATATCTCTTTCCAAGTATAAGTGTTACGCGATGGATGATCTTTCACTTGACTAGGTGGTACTTTGCTTGAACAGTAGTGATACTTCCTGTCTAACTTAGTCAAATTAGATGAAGTGGTTTTTAAATCTCCAAAGTCTTTCTTGAGATATAGGTGCCTTAACCACTCACCGACGGGCGGGTTACCGCTAGATAGGGTGAATGTTAGTATCAGTCGCCACCCTGATGGTGTCCAAGACAACGCTTCTATAGAAAACTGCGATGTAAATAGGAAGCTCATATACGACCACAATCTTTCTCAAGGTAATTTAAGGTAAGTATGACTAACGTCTGTGATCTTTCTTTGCAACAGATGTCCGGAAATCGTACCACCACCTTTGTCTACGTTTGGAAATGTTCCGAAATATTGACTTCCTCCCCCCTGGAATCATAGGATGGTTGTCTGGATGTAATATTATAAATAAAACTTTATGTATATAGAGTATACAATCGTGGGGTTTTATCGCAGTGATGATTTAGCAGTTAAAGCGATCGGCTCAACCATTTAATTTCATATTCAAACCACGCTATATCTACTTCGGTTTGGGCAACCAAATAGTATCAGTAACCTTAGTACCAAAAAATGCAACCTGGTCGATCCTGTGAGCCTCTAGTTTACAAGTTAGTTACCACTGGGAGTTCCAGTCGCAAATCAGTTTTATGTCGGATATGGCTCTGTGACACGTTCCAGAAATTTCTTTTTACCAGTTTGCTGATCCTACACTACAACTAATTATGTAAATAATTATGAATAATATTAGTTAATCGAAATATTTATGAATATGAGTTAATGTGAAAGAGATAACCGTTTGTAGGTGTCCTTATTCTTCTTGAATGTCATATTGTGTACACCCAATCTTTTCTACGACCATTGATACTGTTATTTCATCTGGTATTCTACCATTTTTGTCGATGGTTTCATCTTGCTGTGTTAGTAGGGTACAGCAACGTGAAACCCATGCTCATAGGTGCTAGGTTCTACTGGGCTTAGGATTGACTTATTGTATATAAGTGGTAGTACATGTACAAGACAAAAAGAATATTTTGCTTCTTAATCAAGCCAAACAGTTTTTTAATCCACAAATCTAGAAACTGTCAAATTAGATTCAATAAATACAATTATAATAATCGTCAGGTAAAAAATAAGGTATGTTCTGATATTTATGCTTTCTTTCTGGATCTTCATTCCTTTGTTTTTTTCATCTTATTGTAGGTCTCATTTACTTATGCTTAAGTGGATTGTTTGTCATGTCAGATCTGTCCTGTAACGCAGATGTAACAGATTCTTTTAACATTACACAGAATACACCTATTCCTAATTCAAATTGCACTTTGTTGAATGATGTAATTGTTGAAAATCATAATGACTGTGATTCATGTACTCAAGGTCCGTCAGTTAAAAAACCTAGGTTATTTGAGCAGCAAGATACTCTTTGTAAATTGAATAATGGTTTCAAGGATGGTTACAATATATGCAACTTAAAAAGCTTACCAGAAATTCAAGAAGAACTTAAAAAAGTTCGACTCTGTTTCGATTCAAAATTAAAACTTGCTCTAAAAGAGAAATTGTCCAAATACATATCTTTTATTGAGACAACAGAAAAAACAGTAACTAGTTTAAAGGAAGAAATAACTCAATTAACAGGTCGAATGGATTTCATTGAGTCTTCGTCAAAAGACTTGACGAAATTGATTAATGAGCGAGTGAGTAATATTCTCAATTACTTTATGTTATTGTTAAAACATACTGACAGACAGTGCTATGAAGTAATTAACCGTCTGATTTTTTTTGTGTTTCTCGTGATTCTTCCGGTAGATTCCTTTGCCTGCTCCAACAAGTGGTATTGGTCAGTCGAGAACTCTTTCTTCTCAAGCTCCTCGTTTACCTGTACTATCTCATTCTCCTTCGGTATCCGCGCCAGATCGATCTATACAAACAGCGAATCCTTTGAATCGACAGCCGAATCTAACTTCATCGAATTCTGTTTCATCTAGATTATTATCTGTTCTACCAAAAACTTTCGAACTTCAGTGTGTTCCTCCTCAAACTGCATCAGGTACAGTTTTAGCTATCCAGGTCAATGATACTATTGACCTGACATCAGACACTAATATAGAAAATGCTTGGGAAGAACATTTGGTTTCTGGCTCAACAAATACGAAAAAAATAAATAAACACAGTGCCACACCTCTTTCAAGTATGCACAAGCGTATGCTTTTATTCATTCTTCATTATTTTACTCTCAATTTCATCTTTAACCATAAAGCTTATATGTAATTTTTCCAGTGGATGATACTTATATCTGTTCTTTTCAAATCTATCGTCGAACTGAGGAAAATTCCAATGTAGTCGAAGTTTATTTGCCCGAGTTGTTGTATAAGTGCTGACGGTGGAGTGACTGATAAGATCCGTCTAATTATAATTAAAGCCAGATAGGCTCATGGTAATCTGGACCATCTTTGGCTCCGTCGTAATATTAATCCGACTGTAAAAGGTAGAGTATACACTTCATTGGTCAAAACAATTCTGCTCTGGGATTGCGAAACCTTACCTCCCCTAGTTGGAAGTGTGCGACGACTTTCTGTTCGATCATCATTGTCTTCGAAAGATTGCTGACATCCGGTGGCAGCGCCATGTTAGTAATGCTGAGGTTCATCAATGTGTGTTTGGGCACAGTGACAACAATTCAATTAGTATCATCATCTTAAAACATTGACTTCGGTGGATCAGACGACTGTCATCCCGCGACGTCCATATCGTGCATTGATTATCCGATTATCAATGCTGCGACTAGGTGAAGAGGTGGTCATTTTATAGCATAATGCTGTTGTACGAAGAAAAACTGTGCAAGACTAGTATCTGCTGGTCCATTAAGGCTTCCTGTCCGATACAACTCACTGGCTTGACATATCAGACATGGCTCAAAATAGAAGCTCGTGGAGGTCCTGGTGTAATTTTCCTTTATGTTCATGTAATAACTAAAGGGACTCTCACTATTTACTATTTTTGTTCGTTTGTTTTCATTCTTTTATTTATTTTTGATTATACTCCCCATATTTTTTCTATCCATTCACAATCTCATTTCCTTATTTCCATGGTGCATACTTATTTTGGTACTCTACCCAGTTGTACCATTGTTTATGTTTATTGAATCAATAAGTAAATCATAGCAATCAATGTATTGAAAGGATATTTTTTGTTGGGGAATCTGAAAATGAATTAATGTCGATGATGTTGTCTGACTCGGAACCAAAACCATTGCTAACTTTCGATTATAGTATTACTCAAGTTTTAACGGTAGATAAAAAAAATGAATGCAACTCCCAAGTCACAATCTATTTCTCCTCTTTTTACCTAGCATCTGTAACTATTGGTTACGTGCATGGCATCGCTCTCGATTATGTAGTATGCATCTAACAGTACTACTCAGACCACTGCTCGACAACTTCATGAAGTGTTGCCCTTTTCTTGGTCTAACCACTCGTATATTTTTTTCTAACCTTCTCCTAAATCAGCTTTGTACATCAGAGTAGACGTTAGTCAGGCACAAGTAACATATATCCTAACCATTTCAATTGAAGCTTTATTGCCGGTTAGTCGACTTACTCTTTTCACCTAGTACCCTACATCTATGCTTAGCGTCACTCGGTGCACCATCTGCAAACAATGCTTTAAAAACGCCAATGATAATGTAACGTCCGACCTTTGGTAGGTTTGCGTCTAGCCAGAATGTACCTCATGTAGTGGGTAAGTGTTAGGAGCAGTAAGTGCGATTATCCGGAAGGCCCCCAAATGCTCTGGTATGGCCGAAATTGGGAGAGCAGTTCTCTCTCTCAAATGCTCTCACATGGTCACGTGCATACAACCACTGCCAGGAAAGTCCTACTCACTGCCTTCTCGCGGCGGGGGTGTTGTTTACGAAATTGAGAGGACGAAAAGTGAATGCCCGGCGCTTTAACCGGGTTTGGGGAGTTGGGAAAACCTGATTCCAAACCAATGGTGCATATGGGCTCCAGGATCCTAAGGGGTCAAATGGTGTGTGAACCTGTTGTTCATCACCTGCTTCTATGGGACTACATCTCCTTACGTTGCTCCACTGTCTTGTGGATTAGACCTTTAGGCCAAAGGCTCGGGTTTACCCCCTAGTAAAACCATCTGCTCCGTTTTGGGCGCCCGGGCAGTATCCCAGCCCTCACACAAATCGAATGGTTTGTGTGGCGTATATCTATTCGGTGCCTTGTACCAATGTTTATATGTTTAAATAAATAAATAAATAAAATCATTCGGAAGAGGGAAAAACTGAACCGGTGACTCAGTAGGCACATAGAATCCACTTATATTTAGAAATGAAAACAATTAACAACAATCAGAAATAATACGGTGATGAGATCAAGACAATCTAATAATCGGAACAAGTCGATAATGTAGGGTTTCAAACGTACTACAATAATATACTTGAATCCCACACACATCTGTTTTCATAACCAGTTTTTCTCGTCAATATTGTAATATAGAGCGGACTGCTACTCAAGATACTTCTCTTAGTTGACAAACGGACAACTTGCCTGTTCTACAAGCGATGAAGATTAGTAAAATTCGAGTGGTCAGAGACCAATGAGATTCTCAGGGTTAGCCCCATTATTTAATCATCTACTTCGGGTTTTTATAAATACTTTTAGGAGTACTTTCTTGATTCTACCTTAACACTTTTTTGTCTACTCATATTAAGATTTACAGAACGGGATTATTTCCACAATAAATGTTCCACCTTCATTGACATTTGACACTGGTAATAGTCTGGATAATGGGAATTCAAAGCAATCATATTTGGACTTGGCATCCTTATCTCAAGCTCAGAATATAACTACTAATCAAATAACCAATTCTCTACCATACTCTGTTATTCCCGATGTTCAACTACTTCCTGTTGCTTTGCTACCTCCAGTTCCAACACAACCAGTAACTAATATCAACCATCTTCCATTGCAACCTGTTCCTCAGCTAACTATTGCAGAAGCGGCTGAAGGTTAGTTAGTCTATACTATGATGAGCACACATTATTCAGTAATTTTTTTCCCTGTAATTAGTTTATTTTCTTTAACTTTTACCTTAAAAATTACAATGAATATGAAGCATATTGATTTCCATATCAACATGATTGTTTTCTACTTGTCTCACTATTGTTATTCCTTACATAAAACTAATGAAATAAGTTCTGGAAACAGTTCTGATAGAATTAGGTAATGATGGTGCAGATCTGTTACGTAAAGAATAACTTACCAACACTGAGTATGCGGATGATATCTGTCTTATTATGTAATGACATACAATCTATCCAAATCGCAGTTAGTTGCCAATTTATGTGTCTGTGAGTAAAGCATGCATTCTACACTTTTTTAAATGCACGATATTTTTTGCCTACATTGGTAGGAACCTTGTGTGTACACTCACTCTTTTTGATGAACTGTTAGAAGCAATCAAAAGTTTTGTATATAACAGTTGTGTTGAGTGCTAGTGTTTGTGGTGACATGACTGATGAGATGAATAGTAAATATGTTATCTTTTATTTTATTTTAACACATAGATAATGGTACAAGGAGGCACCAAATACATATGCGCCACACAGATCTCATTTGATATGTGTAAGGGCTGTGATACTGCCTGGGTGCCCAAACCGAAGCAGGTGATTTTCTTAGGGAGCCATACCCGGAGCCTTCGACCGAAAGGTCTGATCCACAAGGCAGTGAAGCATCGTAAGGAGATGCAATCCCATGTTAGCCGGTGACCAACAATTGGTTCATACGCCATTTGTTCCCACAGGATACTGGAGTCCATGTGCATCATTGGTTTGAGATCAGGGTTTTCCAACTCCCCTATGTGAACTCTTTATATCCACCAACCCGGTTAAAGCACCGGACATTCGGTTTTCGTCCTCTCTATTTCGTAAACAACACCCGTGGTGCGAGAAGGCAGTGAGTAGGACTTTCCTGGCAGTGGTTGTATTCATATGGCCATGTGAGAGCATTTCGTGAAGGAGAGCGGACTCTCCCCACTCTCGGCTGTACCAGGGCATTTATGGGCATGGTAAATATGTTGAAATACTTGTAGTAGCAATGGATAATAAAAATATAATTAGACGTAGGAATATTTAGTTCAAAAGAGGATTTACGTCAATTGATTCATTCTCATATAAATGTTGTTTCATTTTGCTCATCTTTTTCTTTTCTAGGAGTTTGTTTACAATGGTCTATTACATATCCAATTGGATCATTTGAACCTGCTATTTCTTATGAAATTTATAGTTATGCTTCATCTGAAGTCAATTTAGTCACTGTTCAAACATCATTACCATGGAAAAAGGTGTGTATACTAGTAATCATAATCATAATAATAATAATGATAAAATGAAGAGATCAAAGTATATACACATGTATTGTTACCTTCCTAGTTGTATATTTTACACAATCTTGTACTGTTCTCATCTTTATAACTAACTAATTTTCATAATTTCAGTATGAAATATTCATGTATACTCTTTCTTTGAATTCATTCATCATATATTCACTGTAAACTTCCGTAATGTTTTATATATACAGTTTTCTTGATCAGTTATTTGCCTAGTTTATATTCCATTTGTTTTATAATATTGTAAATAAATAATCATTTATAACCATAGACAAAAGTTGGATCGATGTATATATGTGCCTGATCCTTCATTATAGCTGATTGACTGACTGACTGTAGACAAATCTACAGAGGTGTTCAACGTTAGAAATGAAGACAATAACTTTTGAACTACATTATATGTGAATATATATTAAGAACTGAATCGTCATTTTGTGAATTCTAATGATGACGATGATGGTTTCCGTCAAGTTCAATTATTAATTATTGACTTAAGAATACTCTTGAGAACCATTAGACAGTGTTGTATTTATTCCGATATCAATGAGGTTAAATTACTTCAGGTAGACAAATGTAGAAATTATGGTGGGAATCTATCTTAGTGTATTCAGATAGTGACGGCCAATATTTGTAATTCACAATGAGAATTTCGTCATTGTTATATTCTTTCAACTAGTTGATTTGGTTGTAGAACTTTCACTATCATTCTAAGACATCATCAGCACATATTTAAAAAAAAAGAGAGAAATGAACCATTTCAATTACCCCGTAATTTAAACAATGTTCAATAAGATCGAACCTTTAGTTGTTATTGTTGTCTTTAAAATGAAACATTGTACTTAATTACTTGAGGTCATTAGTTATTCATTGTGATAATTCCATGAATGTATCATATACTTTGCTTTTATTTTGTTTCTTCTCTTTTTTTGCATATCTCCAGGTTGGTGAAGTAGCCGCTTTACCTTTGCCTATGGCGTGTACATTAACTCATGTTCAAGCGAATAATATGTATTATTTTATTGTTAGGTCAGTTGATCGATTACGTCGATATAGTTCATGGTCAAATGTTGTAAATGCTTATGTTAGTTGAAAAGCATCAAGAAATTGTCAATAAACCTGGGGATTTGATTAATGTTCCCTCTCCTTGAAATATTCCTTTATAAATGAAGATATGTGTACTTTTTCTATTGCATTTACCCAGTAAAAATACGTCTGTACAGTTCTCATCTATGTCAGGATGTGTGTATGTATGTATTTATGTATGTAAATTTTCTTTTCTTTGTATTCAGGGACTTTAGCCCAAAATTGATTTTCCCTCAGTTATATACTTTAATATTTTGTGATCTAGGCTAAATATGTATCACAGTAAAAGAGTATGTTTTTTGTTTTCAGACATCGGAAATTAACCTCGAAAATATTATTTCGCGGTTCAATGTTCCGATGTACAACTGAGTTTGCTGTTTCTTTGTTGCAAGTTTCAATGGTGGATTCTTAGCGTTATTATGCACACACTTAAAACCTTATCTGAGTTTACTTTGAATCCTTGGGGGATGTGGATTCCTCGACTTTTTTCGTGTTATTTACATTCTCCTTAAAACTGAACACTCCGCACTACGATGTACACAATATCATGCCTATTCGAACAGTCAATTCACATTCACTGAAATTGGATCGCTATTCTCCGACTCAGATAATATTCTTAAATGCAGTTAGAGTATTGATTCCCAGTGTTGTTGCGTGGTTATTCACGGGATGAGGGCGTTGTAAGTTGCTACAACTATTTTGTGTCACAAGATTTCCCCATCATCCGTGGATGATATTCAACAAAATGGTAAACCTTCGACTAAGCACTAAGGCTTCTGTGATAGCTCTCAAGCAGTTCTATGCGAATCTAATGTACTCAACCTTCAGTTTGTTAAATGAAACTTCTGTGATGCTGTATCCTCACTGAGTAGTGATGTAAGGATAGTTAACTGGTTCATAATAAAACCAAGATAGCTATGTTACGTTGTCGGCTGGGTAGTTGTAAGTCTCTTAGTAACTAAGCTCCCTAATAATTTACTACCACCAAGTATTCAGCCACTGGCAAGTTAAACTTCGCACCTAGCAAGATACAGTTTCAATAGTTTAGTTAAAACAGGGAAGTACCAAATTGAAGTGATATATATGTGTGATTGTGTGAGGGGATATCTTGTTACATTTCTGACCTAACATTTCACGTCATTTGCTGCGAAGCGACTTTTGTGGCTATACATACTAATTCCAGAACTTTGAGCAAGATTCCTTAACACTACCAAGAGGTGTGTCGTCAGTTTTTAAGTTCTCAAATCTGCATACAGTAAAAAGAAAAACAAGTCTTAAAACAACCATTTCAACAGTGAGCTATGTAGGTAGGGAGAGCCCATGTGGTGTTTTTCTGGTAAAATGTGGAGATGGTTGCTTGGTAGGCTGTTCGGACAACGTCTGTTATCTGCAAACGTCTTCACTAATAAGTTGTGACCAGAATTCCTAATATCCGCCCGATTGTTCTCAGTCTGTAATAAAGTCCAAGAAGTTTCGACATCGAAATTCTACCCTATTTCAGACCATGGATAATCATGAAGGAGCATATTATTAGTCATCGTTTCATAGACGGTATTTATCAAATAAATTTGTGGTGCCCACCTTACATCATGTCATGTAGTTTACAACGAGTAAATACTACTAAGTAGTGCGTACCATCACTCTAAATTATATTATAAGAGTTTCTTCACAAGCTACAATTTATCTTAGTCAACAACCTGAAGATAGTTTCAAACGACTTATTCTCTGGCTTGTTGCTGATTTCATTATAATTATAGTTGGTTACTACTCCTAATTCCTACCAGTTGTTTCGCATTTTGATGAAACCTCATTGAGCGAATGTGTTAGGATTACTAGGTTCCTCGGTAATTTGAGGTAGTACTGATCTGTTTGGGAAGAATATATACTACGGAGACTAGACAGCTTTAGTTAGACCTCTCTCGTCACTGAGACTAGGAAAGCACTGTACGTTTTTAGGTTTTAAGTACCTAGCATATTCTACGTGAAACTTTGCACCACTAACCGCACTACCAGCCACATAACCATTGTAGGGCCAGCAAAATGTCACTAAGCCATAGCCAAATCATCCAGCAGTTGGGTCATAGAATATCGAGCAAATCATCGATCCTCGTCAAGGTCAGGGACAACCAACGCGCATCAGTTAATCGTATACCATGGACTGGCCCATGCGGCAGTGGTCTTACTTTCGCTTGTATCTACTTTAACTAATATATTTTTGTAATAACGTCCTCTGTGTTGTACAGTCTTCTGAGCATTTATGGTACGTTGATACGTCAATGGGGTAGTCCACGCAAGGTGCTGGCCACGAGGTGTGACTTCGACGTTAGCTAGTTTGTCACAACATTCACGTCTAACTCGAGTAGGCCTCCAATCATTTCAACATGGATCATCTACGTTGGTGATCTACACCATATTCGTAACGGAAGCTTATCTTCCCATGAAATCATAACAATTTGTTAATTATTTAATACCAGATCCCACGCACTAATAAAGTCAAAACGCAGGACACAGCGCTCCCAGGTTACCCGTTTTATATTCTGGACACAAAGTAGCGATCTGTATACAGATACTCTGAGTGAACACAAAATTTAACGACACCATAATGGTAACTAATCTCATGTTTGAACCCAATAACTGCACGCTATAGGTACGTTAATCTGGACGCCACTGCTGTGATATATTTTTTCGCAAACTGATAGAGTAACAAATAGTATTAAAAGTAGAATGGATGTTGATTGGTCCCATACATCGGCGTTTGACCTTGAGCAAATATGTAAACCAATCACAGGCTGATGAACATGAATTACAAATAAGATTTACAACGACTGATTTCGCTCAAGTAAATAACACGCGTAGTAACTTTGTTTTGTGTATTTTTGAATGTGTTTTTTGAATTTTAAGTAAGGTTAGACTACTTGTTTTCATAGGCAACAGTTGAAAATATTCTTTTCCCTCCCTCCGGTTGTTTGAGTGCTCTTGCACCTAATGGAAAACCACGTTGTCCGATGTGCTAGCGCAAATACTAACCCCTATCACACTACGAGTTATCCTTTTTGTTAGCGTGAGTTATGATTGGAACATCACTATCTGGTTTAAGGGATATTCTAGGATAAAAGGTTAGTGTATATATGTGTCATACTTGACGTCATACATCTAGCACGTAACTAATACACTTGATGTGATGAATTTCAGTATGTGGAAAAATAATCTGAGGATAGACGTACATCAGCCATTGTCTGAAACTTAGTTTAGCTCTCTATTGCTGTTGAACATCCCGAAATTTACATTGAATTTCGTGTCTATTCGAATGACTAAAAATGTTTGGTGTTGATAACCAATGAACTGAGGTTTACTGTAATTATAATGTGAATATTTAAGAGGAATATACCAGAACATTGTTGTCTGTAATTCAAACCAAGTTCCGACTAGTAGAAATCTAGTGTAGATCACCAGAGTAGACGATCTATGTCGAAATGATTGGAGGCCTACTCGAGTTAGACGTGAATGTTGTGACAAACTAGCTAACGTCGAAGTCACACCTCGTGGCCAGCACCTTGCGTGGACTACCCCATTGACGTATCAACGTACCATAAATGCTCAGAAGACTGTACAACACAGAGGACGTTATTACAAAAATATATTAGTTAAAGTAGATACAAGCGAAAGTAAGACCACTGCCGCATGGGCCAGTCCATGGTATACGATTAACTGATGCGCGTTGGTTGTCCCTGACCTTGACGAGGATCGATGATTTGCTCGATATTCTATGACCCAACTGCTGGATGATTTGTCTAGGTCTTAGTAACACTTCGCTGGCCCTACACTAAACAACCATATATGTCTCCGTTGTTTCACTGTCGCCAAATGGAATTGTTAGATTTCTAAAAGAGCTTAACACTAAATCCTGTCTCAGATGAAGTGATACCGTGTTAAGTTCCAAGAATTTCAATAGTTTAGCAAACCAACAACTGAATCCGTATAACGTTGCAAATTAACGAAGCGCTTGTTGTTATTTCAATTGCTTGTTGGCTTAAATTTTGACGTAACCGGTATTCTTTATGTTTTGGAATTCTATTTAGTAATAGTAACTCACATAAATAGTGAAATATAGATCCTCAAAATGACAACTGTTCGATCACCGCCATATTACGGGATACTAAACTATTGATTAATTCAGGCAATATGACTATTTTGCACTAGTTTAAAGACGAGTGATGACCTTGGACTTATCGATCCATATATCATACCTTCTGAGAAAGAGGTTTTTAGTCACGGTCTAGATTCTTAATGTATAGTATTGAACATTTAAAACTATTCTGATAGGCCAGTATTTTGACCTTGAAATGATTAAAAAATGCATTCAACAAGTTTAGTTGAAGCATATGGAATGAATGAAACTATGAACCGAAATTTTAATGACAATCTGATTTCATTGTTTAAAATGAGATAGGAACTTTATGTGAGGTGAATTGTGATCTCGGAAACAATCGATCGATGATTCATTTGAACAGTATTGTTTGTATCTATGCCACATTTGTTATCCTACAGGTTATACAATGTTAGTCTTCAAGATTCAGGTTATGAAACGATAAGGTCACCTGGATTTTATAGCGTAGAATATGTGTCATAATACCTTTGTAAGCCTTTCATAAGATCATTATGAATGTGACTGTATGACAGGGACGAGCAAACAGTGACGTTCAACTAACCAGGGAATTTTGAAAGTACTTTCCAACCAATGTGTAAAGTATATGAATTATTATACGAACTAGGAATCCCTGAAATAGTGAAATGGAAGCCAGACAGAATTAGATGAAAACAAGCGAACGTATTGTATTTGAAATTCAAAATCAGGCTTATATCAAGTACAAAAGAATCATTAATTCATACAAACATCACAACTGCAATAACTTAAATTATTACCTAAGTTTCTGTAATCAATGGATTATGTTCTCCTTAGGTTCATTATGTGTCTGTCAGACTGTGTATTGGATATAGACTCTGTATGATCTAGAATATACTCAATAGTATTAGAATTAACAACTGAAATTAGAACGGACTCGTTTGGTTCATGGAATTGTATTTGATCGATTTGTCGATTGTGTGTACTGAAATCATTTATATTTAAAATTCACACCATAGACTTCCCGACATTCTTCACCACAATCCCCATGGCTGTTCGAAGATCATTCCCACTATAATATGTAGCTTCTGCAGACTCTAAATACCTCATATTCGAACGAAGAGCTCTCCTTTTTAATAGTTTTGATGGAGTTTATTCCACTACAGAATATTTAGCATTTCTATATCGCAGTAGTAATGTATCTAATCCCCTCTCCAGTTCATTAAATGTTGAAGCAGCAATAGAATCAACATCAGTTTTCAATGTCCTGACAAAATTTTCTGCCTGACCATTGGAACAAGGGTGCCAGGGAGAAGTGAACAGGTGTTTGCACTTCATACCATTCAATCAGGTAGTGACTGCATTCTCAGCAAAACGAGAGCCATTATCAATCACTAACACCATAGGTACCCCTTCTCGACTAAAAAGGTTTCTTAATGCTTGGATTGTTAAATCAGAATTTA